CTGGAGTATCTACACGCCACATTTAGGCACGATTAGCCACTGTGTTTCTTCATCTGTTTGGTCTTTACTACTTTAAAACGACTTTAGAAGCGTTTATCTAGTTCTCATACAAAAAGTGTAGGCGTTAATGGGCAGTAATTTTGCATAAATCACAGCTGAATTTTGGAAGTCGCTCAAGCTACTTAAAAGGGGAATAAGTAGGAGGGCGGCAATTATGAATAAATTATGCGCCCGTAGGAATGGTGTGTGAAAATGATTGCGAGAAGAGTAATTTCTTGGATTAGACAAGAATTTGTGCACGAAAAATGCTGATTAGTTTTTTTTTAAAAAGTAGAACAATTAAATAATTTTAAATTATTGACAGTCTTTAATTTGTTCGCACCTTCTTAAAGAAAAAGTAACAAATTTAGCCTGTTAATGACGTCTAAATAAGTAGGCTTTAAAAAAAGCATTATAACAGAAAGTGGGAAAGGTCACCTAAGATTCCTTCACTCATCTGAGGTCCTTTGAGGTCACATCTGGCGACCCGAGCGTGCTGTAGAGCACTTGACAGGGGGTGCAGAAGCCCCCCGTGAAGGAAAATGCCTGGATGGTAAGGGACTGCGGGAGGGGCTAGCTCATCCTAGTTTAGCTAACTGCCACTTTTGACATGAGTAATGGCATGACTCGGTCGCGACAGCGAAGGCGGACCCATGACCGCAAGTGCAGATGAGCTTTAAAGATGCAAACCCTGTAGAAATGACCTCCCATCGGTGACATCCCACGTGGAGTAAGTTGATGCACCTAATATGTCACTGCGGTCCCCTCCACACCAATCCCCTCTAATTCGTTTGCCCAGTTACCATGGTAGCATCTTTTGCAGTAATTTAACCCAAAAAAATAATTAGAAAAGTTATTAAGGTTTAGAAATAGATTTCCTTAAAGTTTAAGAGAAATTAGCGCGTTAAGATGCCAAAAATCTCTCCCAATTTAAGTTGTTTGAATGAGCTCTCGCACCTGACACGACGGCGAGATCAAAAAGGCGGGGTTGAAAATTCGGCACTCCCACGAATCAAAGTGCTAATTATTTAAGCGCATCATTTAAAAAAAAAAAAGAAAAGTGTCTAAATAAATAATTTTTAGTCATTTTTTACACGGCAAATGCTCCCTTGTGCCTGGTTTATGACCACGGGGTGGAGCGAGCTAGCGAGCGAAGTTTGGTTAAGGGGTTCGCACGAGAACGGGGCATGAATTATGCAGAGCCCTCGGTTCCACTCACCACTTCAAAGGGCCTCTTTTAAGTAGCAAACAACTGGAACATTTTATAACCTCCCTTTCCTCCTTTTTTGTTGTCTCTACCCTCGTCAAGTAAGAGAAAAGCGCCAGACAAAGAGGTCAGTGAACAGGCCGCCATGGATGGGACGGTGGCAGCAACTCCAGCGGAGCCGCCGTGAACGCCTTCATCCATTTGCGGAGACCTCGGTGTAGTACTTGCAAGTCCTTCAAGGCTTGACTGTTAATTCCAATTAGAGAACAGGCTTGACTGCTTGAGCCTCTTTGGAAGGTCTCCGTTCCACCGAATTCGATTACCACCTCCCTATCCATACATCGGAGAGGGTTATCAAGTACTGAGTCAGTAGAGCCCAGAAATTGCGCTGGCGCGTATTTTTACAGGACTCGGCTCCTTCAGCTACAATCCGTGCAATGGGAAGGCGCCGCTTCCTAATCACAGTACCCCCTTCCCCCCACTTAGCTGGACCTCTTGAGGTGACTGCGTCCGGAGTGCCAACATTCAGGACGTCGTTGGGAGGAATACCAACGATTACAAAGGTGTAAGAAGCCGATGCCGAGAAAATTACATAGAAGGTCAAAGGAGGGTACGCACCTGAAGAAGCTGCATGAGTCGATGAAGCTCCTTCTCCCTCGACCGTAGGTCAACCAACTCCGTCTGACTTTCTGCATCCTCCACCTGCGCGGGCGGAGACTCCTTCCGAGGGGGATCTGCTGGTCGAATCTGTGGAAGCGTTGAAGCATGCGGCTGGAAGGTCCCCACCTTTTCCGCAATTTGTTCCTTTTAAAAAAAGAACTTTTTGGAGGGGCAAAAATGTGACGTAATTTAATCTTCGCCCAACTTCGGCCTACTAATGCCCGCGAGCAGTCACCTTAATACCAGTCGGGAAAAGGCGCCTATCGGAACAGACAAATGTAGTCACGAGCAATCGCTACTTATTTCATTTAAGCAACCCCGTTTTAAACATGAAGAAAACTTTCGTGGAGTTGACTTTTAATTCCCAAAAGCCGTCAGATTTAGGCTGTTTTTGTTTATAAGGCATTTATAAAGGAAAATTAGCTTAAATAATGCAGACATAGCTAAGTATTTCGGGCCGACCGCAGTTAAAACTACTGGAATGAGGCACTCAAAGAATGCCTTCTACATTCTTTAGTCCAAATGGCGATGTAGGACTTATTGCTGATATCAAAACAAAAAAGTAAACAAAGTGGTCGGTTATTGCGAGATCTTGTAAGCTTCCAGCCTGTTGTCTACCTCTGAGATCACCTTTGCGCGGCCCAAACTGCAGTCCACCGAGACGGTGAGTGGCGCCGCTCCAACGGGTACGGTAAACAAGCCATAAGTGACTGTAGTGGAGAGGAGCGATGCCTACTTCCATTTCTCTATCTACCCACTTTGGGATACGCGTAAAATGAAGGCAATGCAGCCTACCGTGGTGGCTACCACTTCAGCTTTAGTGGGCACGATACGCATCGCCAAACTTTGGCCGGTGATTGGGCATTGCAAAGATCCCCCTTGTTAGGACGTTCAGTCATTCATTTCCCAGAAAGGAAAATAATTCAAAGGCTATTCTCCGACGGAAGAAATTGATAGCGCATCCAGCGACGTCAACCGAAGTCTGACCGATTTGACCAACTTATCGAAGGAGCGAGACCGCCCGGAGGTGGAGGGCCACGCCACAGTACCAAACGACGAAGGTTTCAATGCACCAACTTTCTGCCCTAATTCTCAACCCTTGATATCCTCATGTGCATTTTCTTTTTTCTTTTGTAAAGAGTTTCTGGACGGAGAAAAGTGCGCCCCACTTTCAGGATGGTCATCAAGCAATCAACTTCACGTTGACGATATTTCGTCCAACCGTGAGAAAGTATGATTTATCTAACAAAAAACGGACATGTGAAAGCATTTTTTTCCTCTTTTTGTAAATTTTAGCTTTTTCAGAGCCTAGCAGAACTTGCCCCTTCAAGTAATCACCGTCTCCGTCGTCAAGGCTGGAAACCAACGTCTCGGGTTAATTTGAGTGGGAAAGCCTACATTCAGACAGGAGTCAAACCGCCAACTTCCGATACAAAAATTTAAAGCCTTTGTATGAAGGAATCCGCTGGATGACAAGCCGTCGGACTGCGCCAATCCTGTGGCCATGCGGACCTCTCCGATTTCCCCCCCCCCTCCTCTGCCGGAGCTAGGTGGAGGGGCAGGGCAGGGCGGGCACTGTTCCTCTCTCCCAAGATATTTGTGTCTAGCCTCAGAAATCGGAAGTGGGAAGGAGAGGAGGGGCAGCCAAAAATAAACACCTTCCATGTAGATCCACCTTCTGGGTGTTCAAATTTATTGCCCAAATGCACGAAGGGGAGGGGGACGACGTGAGGACATGGTTACAGGTCTTGGATGAGGTGGTAACAATTTCATAGACCACCATGAGAGCAGCTGCAATACAGCCCCGGTAATTAAATTGCTTAAGGCCATAAAAATTGGGAAAAAAAGGCGAATTTCGCCTTTAAGAGTGGGGTAATTTTTTTTTATCCCATGGGGTTCAATTGGCGGCCTAAAGGAGTCTACCTTTAGGTGACAAATAAAATGGCGTAGTTTGGGACCCACACGTGGTTAACTTCTCATTTCTACTTTCTTTCAAATATTACAAGACTTAAAAATTTTATTTGCTTCCTTTTTTTGACAGCTTTTTTGTCAAATAGTTGTGATAAATCACCGAGAAGGAGAGGAGAACGACTACTGTGTCTTGATCGGTCAGTCGGACCTCCGCCCGCGCCCCCACCCGCCCGATCAACCCGCTTGGGTGCGGGCAAGCGGGCGAGCAGTGGGTGATGACCACGACAGGTGGGGTAAGTGATGTGTCACCTCCCCCCTCCCGCCCCTTTAATTTAAAACTTTCAGGCAGCCTCTCCCATCTCCAATCGCCGAATTATATATAGTTGCCCGAGGAGCGCAGATTTTCATTACTTTTTAAAGTACAAAGTAACATAAAGAAAAGGCCGTGTAAATTGCAAGCGATGTAGCACTTTGAAAGCCCAAATTCGTGGGCTAAAATAAAGTCCCCCACCACGAAAGCCTCCATCAATCCCTGGGACAAAGGGACAGGAGGCGACTACTCGTGGGGATTGCCCTCCTCCTCCCCAAAATGCGCTGTCTACTTTTTTACCTCAACTTCATGAGTAAAAAGCTTACATGTGAAAAAAGCACTTTAAACTGCTTGTAAATAAAAGGAGGAGGAAAATTTTCTGCCACTCACCCCATTAACATGCCAACTGTTTGTACACGAGGTCGTCGTAGTCGCGGGAAGGTGTTCACTGGACACTCCACTGGCCAAATCAAATCGTTTCACAGACTTCACTTTTCTCGACTTGGCAGATTTACAGGTGCAGTTGCATGTGCACATACTGATGGGGATGAAGGGCAGCGGTTGATAGGGCTCCTGGTCCCCATTCATGCTCTCTCCCTCCTTTGTTAACTACCTTTTCGGGAAGAGGGGGCAATATACTAGTACTTTGTGATTACTCCTTCACCTCCACCGTGTTTCGACCTTCTACAAACCCATTGCTGCACAGCAATGAGGAAGAGGAGGCGGAGGAGGAGACAGAGAGCTCACCAATCGTTTGGACCAATCAGAGTGCGCTGAGCAGCTCGGCCGTGGACCAATCAAAGAGGCGCATTTGGAAAGTTTCATTGTGGTATCACTTGGGAGGCGAGTAATCGACTTTGGTCTAAATTTTTAGGTGGAATAAGTGAACTTACTGGCAAAACACCCTTTCTTTTGGCGGCTGTGAACACATTATCCCTCTGGCGCAAAAGATATCACCTTACAACTGCGGTCAACGAAGTTGGCGCTTTCATGGATAAAATATACATTTTGGAAGGGCGATTTAACAATTGGAATAAGTTTTAATTTCTATATTTAGAAAAAGGCAAAAAGTGGGCTTCAAAGTTGTGCCAATTCTAGACTTTAACCAAAAGGAAGCAGTGGTGAGGCTCTGCCCTCGTTTCATTTCCGTTTGGGAATTTGAGGCGTACATTTGGCAGTGCAGTTCACATATCTACGGGCAACTTCGCTCCAAAATTACCTTGAAAAACTTGTCTTTTGAAAATCTTTTGGGTGGTTTTGAAGTCCCCCCGTTCTCCAGTGGAGCGGGGCCGCCTTCGCCCTGGTGGCATTCAGGCAGTTTGACACCCACCAGTTCCGTTTTTGTTTACAGTTATTTTTGGCTTTCGAGGGCCATAAATTTTATTTCTTTATAAATGAAAAAGCTTATTTGTGTAAACAATGGCAGCTGTTTACGTGTAGACAGTTTTTATTAGCCGCACGAAAAGATCTCTCTCGCGGAGTAGGCAAACGTGTTGAGAACAAAAAAGCGTACCGATTTATTTGGAAATATTAGCTCAACTCTACTCCAGTAATTTTATTTATGTCTATAAAAAGTTATGTTGGATTCATTGTCATGGGCATAAAAACGGTCATTTTATTTCACAAGTGTGTTTAAACCTAATAGTGCCATCTAACACGAGCTTTCAGGAATAGGTGTGCCCTTTTTTAAAAAAGGCACTTTTATTTAGCAAAAGGCTACCGAATTGGGGCTTTTTTAAAACCAAACGGCGAGGCGGCTCATGTGCTACTTAAATGGGCGCGCTTAAGTAGTATCCGAAGGAAACATGCAATATGCTCTCTTATCCGGTTTTATGGAATGTTTTAACACCTAAATGCGCAAAAAGATGTGAGTTTTTAGTTAAAATGTTAAATTTTGACTTTTTTTCACCCTCTAACCACCTTTATCTCATTGTGCTCCCCACAACTTAGATTGTGGGTAAACCGGACATTGGTTTGTCAAACCTGCCATCCTCACGTCTTGAGTTTAACGCAGTACAAATCACAAGTGCCTAAAACCTCCTAATGACTCCCTCCATTTTTTTTTCGCTTGAATGTAAGAGTGTAAAGGCAATTATGTGGTCGCAATCCAAACGAGTCAACGTTGAGGGCAAAATCGCGGTAGGTGTTGCGTGTGACAGGACTCAACGACTGTCACTTTTCCTCTCCACCTCTCTTTAGACAATTTTCAGGTTATTTACTGCCCAGGGACCCTGTGGTGAGAAAGGAATCTTTTAGCCCAGGCAGCCTTACGGGGAGGGCGTGGGGAGAGCCCTTCGGTGGCCCAAGGCGGCCGCACTGCCAGTCCTCTAAAATAACCACATTTGTCCACTCATTACCATTTTTCCCTTTTAATCAGAAAATTTTTTTTCGCCGTATATGAGATTTACTGAATGATAAAATGCTGCGGCGAGAGTCATTCCTGTCCCATAAAATCGAGCAGGCAAAGGCATCAGATGACCAACCGAAAATCGCAGACTGCCTTTACATCAGGATGTCCTGTCCATCCTTTTTTTAATTTACATAATAAGCGTTTGTATTTGTCCAGCGTCTTCTATTTCATCCCATCATCCTTTTCAAAGTTAATTTTAATTAGTTAAAGGTGAATTAATTAGCCCACCCTTCTTTTGTCTTCTTTGACCAAAGTAACGAGGTAAAAATGCAAAATTGTCTGACTTTAAAAAAGTAGAAAAGTTATTTAAAGTAAATGCCCAAATTTGGTTCTTCATTTAAAGCCTTAAAGGAGCGTTTGAGTGTTTTACCATTGGGAGGCTGATACTACTGAAGTGGTCAAATAAGTAGGCATGTATTTTTTTTAGGGTGTTTATTTATCCACCACCTTTTTCGTGCTTCTGAGGTGCCATGAGAAAAACATGATAAAATTACTAGAAATAAACTCATCTATATTGAAACGAGTTTGTCCTTTATCCCTTCCATCTCGGAGGTCCGGACTGCAGGATCGGGGAAGAGCGGTATGCAGAAGGCGTGGTATCTTGGAGGACAAAAAAGAACTTAATTTTCCAGAGACTGGGAGTTTGTCTTTACCTTGAGAGATTGATGGCACCTCCTCCATCTCAAGGCTGGTTCAATTTTTCCCTTCTTGGGGATTTTTTTCACTGATTTAAATACTACTTAAATCAGGCGAGGGGAATGGCCGTATTTTGGAGGCAGTTTTTCTGCCGTTAAATGATGCCTTTTTTGAAAGTTACGACCGTTTAGAGACGATTTGATGGCGATTGGTATTTTGCTGATCATGTGGTGTCTGGCTAACCATCAAGACAGGCTGGGAAATGTTAACAGACCCCATTTACATCCAGGAAAACTTTACTTAAGTACTGGAGGGAGAAGAGAAACAATTTTTCCACCTCGAAACTCAATTTTATTAGTGAGACTTTTGTCACTTCATCTCCTATTCAAAGGCGAATTTCCACCGTTTTATTTTACTACTTTGATTGAGTCTGTCCTCCACGCACCAAAGTCACCACCGCTTCATCGTCATCACCATCGGGCAGGCAAACATTTCCTTCTCCCGACGACCATTTGCGGTTGGAGGGCCGGCGAATGCGTCTGGCCTGTTCCCCTAGGGGAAATCAAATGTGTAGGCTGGAATTTGCAGAGGTGGGCGCTGTCGTCACACAGGGACATCAGATCCGCCATGACATTGTCGCCTTCTTCTCCGCCCTCGACTTTTTTCTATTCAGACATTGCAAGCATCACCAAGGTCCTTCTCATCATGCCACGACCTTGTAAGAGGTGGTCTGATTCCGGCAAATCCTGTAAATGGTCCAACAGGTTCATTCGGTGGGCACGAAGCATATGTGGTGGATAACCGCCTGGCATAAATTTACCCACTTAAGCAGAAGACCACTACCATGGGCACCTTTAACATTCGTAATCAAGTTTTAGTGATATTTAGAGCCACCATCAGCGATTCGCCTTCTTCCCCTATTAAGGATGTTGGTTGTGGTGAGCGCTGCGTCTCTGTGGGAGCGAAGGAAATTTATCCACAATGAGTGGTGGTAAATTGTCCTCTTAATACCTCATCTGTTCACCAGAGTCGGTGCTTGATAAAGCGCTGTGACCTCCTTCCTTATAAAAACCAAATGAATGATTTTTCCTCCAATCTCTTCCTTCCCGTACCTTCCAATTCTCCTATCGCGGAGTGTCGGCCAAACTTGTCTGCATTGCGAACTGCGGCTAACTTCTCTTCAAGGCGGTAAAGTTGCTGAAGAATGTGATGTTTACTGCAGTGGAACAACGCACCAACCAGAGAGGTGGCATCGCGTCCACGAGTGTCCTTCATTTGTGATATCAGTGCCGGTAGCTACTGAATTGGCCGACTTAAGTAGTATTTACAATGAGTAAAAATCGTTTTTTTTTGCACTCACTTTGACAGAGAATTTTTATGGTGGCTGAAAAACTGACGAAAAAAATGGCTTAGTGATTAAAAAGCAAAACGTATTTATGTTTCTACAGCACAGTTAAAGATTTGTCAGTTGCTTTCACCTCACTTCCCAGAACCGTTTGAGCGGAGGACCTGCAGGGCTCCAGATTCGTCTGGTGATGGAAGTGCAAGCCTCAAAGATGGATCAGTGGTTGCATCATCACCTCCTTGGCCTAACGGTGTATTTTTGGGCCACCATGGCAGTTGCTAAGGTCAAGTTACCTCTCAACAAAGTGTCAACACCTAAATATCCAGTTGATATGTAAGTGTGGAGGAGATTCGTGCCTTCAAAGTAAGCACAAAAGAAAAATCTTAAGAAATTTTTTTACTTGGGAACAAAAAATAACATTTGACTTGAAAAAAGCCTGGCAATTTTTCGGCTCCAGCCCCGCCTCCCAGGGAGGGTGGAATGACAGTACTTAGGTTCAGCCCTTTTAAGCAATGATGAACAGAGGAGGCTCAAGAAGCCCGAGACAAGCCTCATTCAGCCACTTCTGTCCGTTTTTCTTCACCAGGGATTGTCAAGTCTCAAAAAAGGGAGACAAGTGACGCCCAGAAGAACGTCGGAAGGAAGAGGTACTTACCCCCCACCCCCTTTTGTCCATCTTAAAGAGAAAAATAAGTTCTCCCTACAGAGAACCTTCTTTTTAGCATGTGGGTGTCTTTGCAAACCTTTTTGAGGACTCCGTTTAGTGGATATGTGACGTATGTCCTTCTTTATCCTTCCTTCCTTAACAATGACCTTCTGCCATTTCCTTCTTCCTAAGATAGCCCCTCATAAGGTGTCACAAGTGATGTTTCTATTCATTGGCTGTTCTCGATCGAAACGTAGTCAATCTCAATGTTTATTTCTCATTTTTCATTGAGGGTGAAGGTACTACTGATAATACTACTTATAAAGCAATGCAATAAGTGGCGAATATGCCGAAGGATAAAACCAACAACAGAATGCGTCAAGTGACTGCAAGCAATCACGAGATGCGAATAGTCGCGGTGGGAGATTTATCATGTCACTGCATTTGGGAGGTGAAAGCTGTCCCTCCACACCCTGCCTAATTCAATTCATTCCCTCCCTCCCTCTCTCTCTCTTCCACTCCTCCTCATTTCGTCCGGGTAGACGAATATGACAAACAAAATAAAACAATTATCTGATTATCTAAAAACTGCTCAGAAAAGGGATTTATATACATTTTTTGGTAAAATAAATCCTTTGACAGAATCCTAGATTACAACAAAGGGCTAGTCACCTCCTTCCAGCCTGAAGTTCGAGGCTTCCTGCCACCACCACGGCCTGACATTTGGTTCACTAGGCATGTCTGCTCCCCAAAAAGGGAAGTGGTTTCTCTTGTGTGGAGGCGGTCACCATTCCCGCCCCAGCTTCGACGAGAGTAGACAAATGGACAGGTCAGAGGCGTCACTGGTGCGGACGTGGAGCTCCCTATTCTTCCAGTAGGCGTTTGGTGGCTTGGAGGTGCGTTCTTCCGCCTCCGCCACCTCGAGGAGCAGACAAACCCTTCAGCCACAAGAGAGTTGCAAAGCAGTGGCGGACACGCCGAAGAAAGGCGCGCCGACGGACTAAGGCAAGTTCCTACCCCTATGAGGCTAATAATTGTCCGCCCTCTTTGGGTCGCCTCCTAGCAGTTCAGATTAGTGACCCCCCACTCCCTCCACTTCACTCGACTTTGAAGCGATGCTTCTTGGCACACCTTTTCTGACCCCCGCAACTATTTAACGGGCTGGGTAGTGGGGGTCGAGAGACGGAAACAGTAAAACAATAGAATTTCGTACCACTTACCCTCGAGCACCGCGGAGAGTGGAGTGTCCGCCCTCCTCTCTTATTGACAGCACCAACCGACCCGCTTTGATCTTTCCCCATCTCCGCCTCCCCCTCCCCCTTTTGAGACGCGACAGGAGGTTGAAGGGCGACCAGACAGTAGCGCTTGCACGTAAACAAGGCAACCAGACAATGTCTGTGGATAATGTAAACAGACACCGATTTGTTGCATTGTTCCCGCCTCCGCATGTGCTTCATCCTCGGCATTTCGCTTTGACTGATCTTCTGGGTTGGTGCTTAAAGCGGAGGGAAATAAACCGTGTGACTAGAAGCGAGTATAATCGGTTGGTCAATGGTGACTTTACAGTGCAGCGAGGGGATACAGGTTGGACGGACGGACAAAGGAAGAATGGGTGAACAAGCTCTCAGTTAAGGAGGATAGACAGTGTTAGAGATTCACCACTGAATGGATAGATGAATGGATATAGGATGGATGGATGGGTGGATGAATGGATTGATACAGGATGGATGGATGGATCCAGGATGGATGGATGGATGGATCCAGAATGAATTGGTTTGTGGTTTGTTCATGAACACAACGACCCAGCTATTGAATGGACGACTCATCACCATCATCTTCATCTTTGCTTACCTTTTGCAGCAGATTGCCATTCACTAGATCACTTTTGACAGCAGAGTCGGTTGACACTCTTGAGGAGAGGGAGGGAGTGCTCCACTCTCTGCGGCTTAGTCACCACCTTCGTGCCATGTCGTTATTCACACCCCTCAGCCCATTCGGGCTTCCTTTACACCAACAATAAATCACCTTTGCATGCTGCTATGGCCTTGAGGGGGGGGGGGGAGATGGCGGGAGGGGTGGGAGAGGTCGGCGCTAACATCTCCACGATGTACAAAAAGAATTTCTGGGTATAATTTTTGAGCCGACTTATTTAAAAATGCGGTTGGAGGCAAAAAGTTGAAGAGGAAGTTGCGTTTTAAGTGATGATGGGCGAAGTAGATGTGGAATTTCTCCTCCCTTTTCACTGAAGACTAGCTGGAATCCCCTTCTTGTCCCCCATCAACAATGCGGTATCTGAGTCCACTTTAAGTCCCTACGAAGCAGCGTGGACAGTTTGGAAATAAAAGTGGAGGGGGAATGGAAGTGGCCATGAAACGGTATTTTGATTTTCACAACAAGGCGCTGCATGAAAATGGACTCCAAAATGCCGTGCCACCATGACGCGTGCAAAGTACTTTAATGGATCGTTTAAACGTTTTTGACACACCTATTTTGTAATGCCTATATTGTTTTAATGTTCCTTTCAGAGAGGAGGCGGGGAGACGATTCTATTCGCGGGACAGAGTCGACTTCCTGTAAGACTGAGAGCGGTTGAGGATCCTCACCCTGCTAAACCCAATACTAGTTTTCCCTATTCATTTCCCCCAAATAAATATGTTGAAATCAAGTCAACCTGGTTGTTCTAAGGGTACGAGGAACAGGAAGGAGGGAACCTACGAGCCTCGTCCTACAGTATAATCAACTTAAACGAATGATTAAAAAAACCACTTCCTTAGACAGATGATGCATCAGCCTGATCTAGAGTTAAACAAGCTGATTTAAATGTTTTTATTTCAAAAATCTTGGGCAAATAGCCTTGCAAAGTGGTGATAAAGTGAAGAAGAAAAGTGGGAAAATATGCAAGAGCCAATTTCGCATTAATTTTCAGAGATAATTCCTTGAACTACGCAGTAACGTCATCAGACGCCTCGGAGAAAAATTATTTAACATGCCTTATGGGATTTCCTGAACTGAATTTTTAGCAAATCTACTGTGTAAGCAAATGAACCTGTTTTGTTTAAATAGTTGAATTCGCACATCTTACTTTACCTCAAACAGAGATAAATTATGACCGATTGGAGCTAAATTGGACCTTTGTTAGCATGCTAAATTGTCATGTTCCCAAAAATTTGACCGGGGTTATTTTCTTGATTTTCAGTCAAGGCATTCCGAATTATTCTAGGTAGATTACTTAATAATAAAACCCTCTACCGCTTGCTGTTAACAATCTCGCTGCCCCCTTGTAAATGTCCAACTAGTTGATAGAGATTCATATGGGTAGATAAGGCAACAATCCAAAGCCAAGTCATAAAAACACCTCAAACCGTCAAACATGATGGACTGATCAAAGTTTCGCGTTTTTAAAACATCAAAGTGCTTGATGTGATGGTTGGTGCTAGCGAAGGAAAGGTTGGTTGGATTTTATAATACACAATGGTATTAATTTTTTGAATTTATTTCACGGGGACAATCTACCTTGGCGTTTAAGCTGTACTTGAGGGAGCAAACAGCGTCAATATCGTAGATTGTGCGACTATTAGCAGACATCTGTGATGCAACAATGGAGGCTGAACCCCAATTCAACCGTTTATGGAAGGCTTTTATTTCGGATTCGAAAATTAGTTTAAAAGGAACAATACGTAACCCTTGAATTCTAACGGTAGCCGTGCATTCCGCAGATCATGATTAATTCAGCCGCTGCCTTTTGATTGCGGTTCACCAAACGACGAGCGAATATCCACCACCACTGCGCCGGACACAACACCATCAAAGTCGTCTTCCCAAATCCGTACACTCTCCAACCGTAATTAAGGAGACATTCGGTTATTCCCCGCCCATCATGTCTTCAAGCGGAGTTTTGCGAGTTGCGGTGCCGCGAGCCCCGACAAATTCGACTATGCGCGTCAGATGCGCTCCCTATACAACATCTTGGAGCAGTAACAGCCACCAGATCCGACATCCCTGCGCTACTCACCATGCGCCACTATATATATCGCCTCCATCGTTAAGGCGTCCAAGTCAACCCTGGAGGCATCGGGATTAAGATGAATGCGGAATTGGCGCTACAAGTAACGTAAAGAGGGAAAGGGCCAGCGGCAGAGTCGGAAATCGCCACCGTGTCGGGTCAAATTAAGGATGCTCGTAAACCTAAGGATGAAACCTGTACAAGCGTCTCTCCTGGAACCGCACCTCCAGTAAATACACTTGATCCGAAATCGAATGAGCAAGCCAGGCTAAATGATGGCCTTAAATCCACTTCATCAAACAATAACAGTCTGCAGTTTCACAGTGTTTGCACTCTCAAAGCTGTAGGAAAACAAATATCTACTAGTCCACCTGGGAATTGCGCATCTCTATAATATTTGCTCAAATCGAGAAGTGCAATGAGAGGGTTGAAAATACACAAAAAGTAGTAGAATGCGCCCGTCCGAACGCGCCAACCGACGCGGGAGTTAGCGGCGCGTGAGGATCACCCCCGCGTAGAGCAAAAGATTTCCTGAACTTTTTAAACGCCGACACAGTAATTAAGCAACGTCAAAAATAGTCTTCTCTTGCAAAAATTAATTGCCTTCGGAAAATTGAACAGAGAAATGAATTGGCATTAACTGCCCAAAGACGATAAAGCGACTGAAGTACAAGGGGCATCCTACTCCGTTATATTTGATAATGCCACAGAAGGACACGCAAATATGAACAAGCAAAATGACGAATTTATCCACACCTCGCATGCTGATGAGAACTGAATCCCCTACTAACACACGCAAGTAGAAATTCTTGCACACCAAATAAAAGTAGCAGTAACAGTCACAATATACAGGTATGCTATGAACACAATTTATTCAAGATTGTTTGCTGTTCTCCTGGTCTTTTTGATGCTGCAGTTTCTCTAATTCTTCTAAATGGTTCGTCAGTTAAATATAAAATAACGACGACCCACTTTTGCAATCTGAAATCACTTTCATGCGTTCCGCTGGAACAAAAATGCGGTTCCCATACTGCTGATAGACATTCTAAAGGATATAAGAGAGTGAGAAATAGAACAAACTACCCTGATTGATTTATCCTGTTCAAGTTCGTCCAATAATGCAGTCTTTAAAGCTATCTGAGGTACACCTACTAGTGAGAAAGAAGCAACTTACGGATATGTCAATAGAGTTCGCGTTTTTCTAAAAGCAAGAGCAAAGAGTGGTGAATCAAGCAAAAAATAGGAAATTCCGAAACAAAATCAGCAACGCGTAATGATAGACCGTACAAAAATGATTTTACAAAATGCTACATAAATTATCTAAAAAAACATCGCATTGCTAAATAGAGCTATAAAAACACTTTAAAGGCAACACAGCCTTAAGAAACCCCAGTAGAAGACTTACAGCCATGGGCACCCAGAGAGGCCGTTGCGTTGGCTGAAGACTAAAACAAAGCCCCACTCAAGAATGCAAAAGTGACTATAAAATGCGTACAAAGAGAAAAAACCTATTTTTTATAAAAAAAATATTCAAAACTAAATTTTGTTTAATATTTCGCAAAAAAATGAGCATTATTCAAAAAATTATTAAATTTTTAATATACTCAGTAACGCAATATAGCAGATTGTGAAAAACCACTGATTTCGTAAAAATTTGTCTCAGTAAATGATTTTTAATTAAGGAACTTGCTTTTGAGGCTGCACAATCCAGAAAAGGCACAAAAAAATACGTACAAAATTGACAACCCATAAGAGGACGCCGCACTGAAGTACCATGATAACTAATCGAGCCGATTTAAAATGTGCATATAAAACTTTAAGCTTATATTGTTTGTGTTCAAAATCAGAACACCATTAAAATGGTTTCGTAATTAACACCTTCAACTGATGTTCAGGTTTTCTTTTGCTGTTTTTATATGCTTTAAAATAATCCTGCAAAATTAGCAAATTTGGCATAGATACACTGTAGCGTCCCGAGACTCCCTGAAGACGAAAGAAGACAAAATACTCGGGCAGAATATATATATTCAGCATGGAGAAGGTGTCTGGGCTATTGGCATGGCCCAAAAGGCCAGCCCACCCAGCGAGGTACAAGGGGGCTAATTCGAAGTACAAAAGTGGCGCCTCACCAGAACCGAGGGATAAACCACTATCGTATTACATACACACTGATCTAAAGTAGAATTAAAAATTGTTGCTGTAGATTTGAATTATTTACAGACAAATACACTGCTTAGGATCTGCTTGAATATGTGCGTCATTGCAGGGCTTGTGCTGTCAGTTATTTCGTAGCACACCATGACAAACTTAAAGTCAAAAAAAGGCATATTTACAAAGTTTGTTAACCTTTTTAGGATTAAAGGTGGCAGAGCACTTGAGCAAAATACATATTCGAAACACATTGTGTATTGGAGCTCTTATCAAATTTTCAATTTTTAAAGCGCAAAGTGGTTTGTTTAAAATTTCGAAGTTTATTGACTTGCCTTCTGCATAATACTTTGGGCAAAATAGGTGAACTTTACATACGGTGCTACTATTAATGCCTGAAGCATACCCTATCCGGTAAAGGTGCAGTAGCAAGTAGTTAAGATAATTCCTTTATAGGTTAAACCTAACAGCCAATGCTCTCTTATTTTACCCTTAGCGTTAATGAATAGCATAACAAGAAAGCGTGTTTTCAGTTGTATTAGAGTGCAAATATGTTCTTCTCCTATTTATAAAACGCCGGGTAGACAAACCCACATCTGTAAATGTGAAAAAATTAAAATAATGCATTTTTTTGCATTTTTTGCATATTTTTTTATAGGTTGGTTTTGATGACTGACGGTAAATCTGTTTGCTTTCCACTCGCATTTTGTTAAGATTTGTCAAATCACACATTAGCTAAGGTCACCACACTTTCGAATTCTTCTTTGGGTTGGCTGCTTTTGATGGAAGTGGTAAGGGCAGACCCCAAGAAGACTTTTAAGCTCGAGAAGCGTATCGGGAAAGGAACCTATGGGGAGGTTTGGCAAGCTTGCTATAGAAGCAATGGCACGTTTTTGGCTAAGATCTTGATGCATTTTTTGCCTATTTGTATATTTTATCGCTTGCGGTTTTTTAAGAATTTTTCTGTCCTCACACAGCAATTTAAAGAGACCCTTGACTTTTTATTATTGATGGATTTTTTTGACATTGGTAAATTCGAGGCTATTTTTCCTATTTACAATTCCCACTAATATGTTTTGTCCATAATTGGCCGCACTGTAGGTCAAAATTTGGCTATTAAAATCATTGACGACATCGCGGAGGCTTTGGAAGAAGTTAAGGAAACTCGAGCCCTAAATCGCCTCTGTTACAATCATCCTAACCTTCCACAGTTTATGGGTGTATACGTCAACAGTCCAGCAGATGATCTTCTTCAGCCACAAGTCTGGATTGCTATGGAACTCTGCGGCGGCGGAACAGTCACTGAACTATCAAAACGTTGGGCCAAACTTGTTCCTTGTTTATCTACGATTTGCCCGGATGATCTTATTCACAGACACCTTTCCAACAACAATACATCGATTACAAATACTCCTCCCACTAACTTCCAACACAAAGCTGACCTTTTAAACAAGCTTGCAGTGGCTCACTGTCCATGCCTCAGTCATCGTCGTGCCCGAAACAAGCGTCGGCTCGAAGTTGGAATAAAAAAGCGTCCAGATTTGGTAAAGAAGCATGCACCTCTTCTCTACTTACCACGCAATTTCTGCAATATTGACGGAAGGAGTTCGCCCGGACGTCTTCCAGCAGTCGTGATGCAATACCTCCTCTACTCCACCGTCTCTGCTTTGGCGCATCTCCACTCCTTTGGTGTTATTCACCGCGACGTCAAAGGCAGCAACATACTACTAACCGATAGTGGGGAAGTGAAGCTCGTGGATTTCGGTGAGCAAACGATTAATTCGCATTAAAATTAAGAATCTGGTGTACTTTAGGCGGACTGAAAGGAAAATTCAATTCCGCACCTGGCACCGCATTTCATTTTCTTAAATAATTTTACTTTATATACAATTTGGTGTCCTAAAACAAACTTAGCATTCGTTATTCTTAAAGCAATTCACTTAAGATTCGCACAAAACTTGCTTATTTTAAAAGACTTCGACAGAATTGTGGTTTCTACCACAGAAAAGGTCTTAAAGGTGTAATATTTCAACAAGCAATGCAAAATGTGGAAGGAATAAAAGGTGTCAATTTTAATAAGGGGTTGTACTTTCTTCTTGAGAAATTAGAGACTAACTTGTAGGCAAGCTAAATCTTAAGTGAAAATAATAAATATTTTTATGTCCAAACAGCACAGGAACTGCAGACTTCTGGTAACAATAGCTGATTCTGCCAATTTACATTAGCCGTTTTATGATCCGCTGAGGCGATTCACCTCATTATGAGGCATTTTAGGTCCCATCTAAAAATGTACAACTTGCACCACTGACTGAGTAATGCCAGATAAGGTGAAGGTAAACGTGAGTAGGTGTGTTTACTCTGCAGATTAACCTCACCATTTAGTTTCATGTTATTTTTTGATGAAATAGGCCCCTTAATGTGCGTATTTCTTCACTGATAAGCATCACAATTTTATTGGTTGGCTTCAACAATCGATCCGAACTTTAAACCCCAAACTAGCCAATCAGGGTTGGCCGAGCAATATCAGCCAATAAAAAGGAAGAATCAGTCTGACTTGTATCCATATTTTTGTTGGCTGTGGTGTCTGTAATTCTTTTCTGTCTTCTACTCCTTAAATCGGCCCAAATACTGACACTTTTTTTCCTTAAAAAAGTAAACATCGCTGTTCATATAGGATAAATATCACTATATAGCTAGGAGAATCCTGAATTACTCACGATTACCAGAGCTTCCTCGGCAACCTCCGTGCCAAACGGACTGCAAGAACAAGGCTTGTGAGCTTCACTCTTCCTATTTCCTCATTAATTTGTAGTTCCTTGCACTCCTTCACGTCTGTTATTTCTCTGCCTCGCTTGAGAAAATCATAAAACGTGGGAAAATAATTGTCCACCTTCGTTATTGCACTCGGAGGTAGGGGCTTTGAATGTGGTCTGCGGGACGTCACCGTTTAACGGAGGTTGGTGATTTCGTCTCTGGCCAAAGTCAAACCATCAATTTGTCCAAATAAAGAAGGGGATAGGGGGGAGGGGTCGCACAGTGTCAGCCAGTGGAAAGGTCACTTGAAGCACAGGGAAGAGGAGAGGGTAGCAATGACCAGCATTAGTTCACTAAGAAGTACGATGGAGGGCTTTCCTTCCAACTGCTTCTTGATTTGGTGAAAACTTACAATGGGAAAGGCGCAGAAGTTGGTCCGCCTTTTAGATGTTAAACACGCCTGTTCTAATCAGACAATTTGCGTAGCCTTTTTCCGTAATTCTTACAACTTTTGCGCAGAAAGAATTCTTTTGTATCAACAGAATGGCTATAGCACTTTGTTGGGTTTTGTGTTACTCTTCCCGTTCGCTGAGTTTTTTTCTTCCTCCGAACTAATCTTGCAATTTTGCAAACCTTCCACCCCGAGGAGGGAGAGATCCGAGTAGGTGTTTGAAGCCTGTTGCTGAATGGCTAACTGACTGACTCACTGGTATATCGTCTTTCAATTCGGCAGGGTCACTGCCACCGTCGCTGTCGCTTAGTCGTGACTCACTCTCCGGTTTTGCTTCCGCGAAATAGCGAAAAAAACTTCAGCCGACTGACTGTAGGAGGGTGTTGTTCTGTGGTCATGTCGGCATGCGTGCACACACACACACACGGTTTTTTCCTCAGATTTTTTACTTACGGGCTAAAAATGGCAGCATTTTGTTGAGAAAGAGGCGTCATAATCAATCTTCGCGTAGTGGAGTGTCGGTTGAACCGATCGGATACTTCAGGCGATTCCAAGGCATCACAGATCGCACCACTTTGTTGACTATCCCCTGCTCCTGGTAATGGTGTGACTTGTGGGTCGCTTCTGCCACGGGGTCGCTATTGTCAGTGACAACTTTCGGCAGTGTTTACGATGACTTATGGCGAGATTTTGCCAGGTTCTATTCAAAGGTTCTGCATTATCAAATTATTGATGTTCGCTTCTTTGCGGCACATTTTAAACCGTCTGCTGACTGACTGACCAACTGTTTTGTTGGGAAAAACGACCTTCGCATTCTCATACTTGATAAAGGAACGAAAATATTAAGCGGGCCCTATTAAAAGCCCAAACAATAATGTTTGAGACCCACTCGATGCAAGTTGAACCTGTTAATTAGTCCACTTTGTCACCAAAAAAGAGTATTTTGGAGTAATACCTACTCGGGAGAAAGTTATGTAAACTTGGCTGTGGTCCAGGCCAGAAGGTGATGTATACTACTTAAAAGCAAGCAAGTATCTTGGAGGAAATAGCATTGCAGAATAAAATGTGTAATTGCAAAAGGTGATTTAAACTAATAAATAACCTTTGACCTTTTAAATGACACTTCAGATAATGGATACGATAAGTCCTGCTACTTAAATCACTAAAATTTGTTTACCCTTTGATGCCAATCCTTCAACCGACAGTTGAATAACTCATCTGCTGATGTCTCACTTTCTTTAAACAGGAATCTCCTGTCGTCTGAAGGATACGTTAACTGGACGAACCACAATCATCGGAACACCCTATTGGATGGCACCAGAGGTGGGTGATATTGTGTTAAAATTACCCCACCTTTGACCTTGAAAGCGACCAATGAGACAGGGTGAGGTTTTACAAAGGTCGTCAAGCCGTGGGCTTCGTGGCAAAGAGGCGCTGGGTGGGCGTTTTCATCTCTTACGCAGTCAGAATTATAGAACAAGATCTTAAGGTCAAGTAGATTGCATCAGTTCTCTCATTTGTTTTAATTTGAGAAGTCGCTTATATGTTACCTCACCTAATTATTCAAGGTCATTCAAGAGGATAGTGACTGGGGGACTGAATTAAGTGACAGTCCATTGAGAATCGATTGGGAAGTAGCAAGGGCTCCGTCGAACACCTGATGAAATCGACTATCCAGCTGCAGATGATGATTCCTTTGAAAAGATCCTGAGATCAGAAAGCGCTGTGGAATTGACGAGTTCAGAATGGCTAAATGGCTGGGGAGAGGGCTGGAAGGGTAAACAAAGGGATGGATGGAAACGCACATGATGAGAAGATGTGCTTATGGAAGGACGGACGGATATGGGATAGATGGATGGACGAATGGATTCAGGGTTTATGACGCAACAATCTTGACATTGATGGATGCCTCTCCACGATAGGAGGCTATGACTCTTCCAATTGCTTTACCCACCGCGTTTCGTTCTCTAATCTCCTCAATCTCACTCCACATCTCTCCTGTACTCAAGTCATTCGCCAGAAGACAACTTCTTGCAGTCAGCCTACCCCCTGCCTCCCCCCTTGCCAATGCAAGGCGTCGTTGTGCATTCCACACGACTTCGTTGACGCCGCAGAGCAATCCCCTCCACCTGTCATCCACAAATGTTTACACTGAGAGTAGGAGTCGCTTCATGGCGTGACATCAGTTTTCTGCCTCGCAGCTTGGCAGCTAAGGTGATGTGCTGGCCTCGAGGCGAGCTTTTCATCCTCCTCCTCCATGTGGTGGGGGTCAATTAATTGACTTCGACTTGTGTGTATGTGCGTGTGTGTGTGGAACTTAATTAATGTGTATCCAGTGTCAATATAAATTGTGCCTACCCACCCACCCCCCCGCTCCGAGGAGGCAGGATTGACACGTGCCTCAGCAAAACCTAGCGGGTACCTCTGCGGGCCCTGCATTGCCTCCACCGGCGTATCCGCACTTATTGAGTGGAGAGGCGAGGGGCGTCCGTCGTGTCATCCCGCCTCGTCGCCCCTTGCGAGGAGCATCTAATGCCTGTCACTGACGCAGTGGTAATTAGCTAGTTCGTTTTCTTTTTCTTTTTCTCCTGAGAAGAAAACTTTATTAATCCACATCACCGGTGGATGACACTATAAACCTCTAAGGTCAGTGAAGTGGGTCAGGCGGGATTTAGTTACCCCCTTTTAAGTGGCCTTGCAAAAGTCGTCTCCTTGCTTGATCCGTTCCTACTTAGTTAAAATCTTGTGTGACCTCCTTCCTGTGGAGGATTGTTGCGGTATTGTTGGAATTTTGAACTGCCAGGTTTGATTTTGTCGACGTGTGGGGAGTAGCCGTCAACCGTGTCATGTAGCAAGTGCCCTGGTCCGCTACAAGAGGTACCAGCCTACGAATCCTAGGCACAAATCGCGCTACAAGGGACAGCATCATTCTTCTGTGTACCAAGGGTGGAAAAGACTCGTTCATCTCAACCCGAGACTTACTTTTTTACGTACCCGGATAGTGCAATGACAACGCAGGCGGTGGTAGATGTCAAGTTTGTCCCATGACAAGTAATGTTAGTAGGCGTGCATGTCGTGGATTTGTTCACACCTCTCTTAGGCAGCACGACAGGTGACACCGACACCGGGTGCGTGTCCAGCACGGTTTTCGATTAAACATCTACTCTGAAAGGCTTCAAGCACAGCAAGACATGACATTTGAATCGTACGAGCACTTCAAAGGTGGTAGTAACGATCTCGACCATGGGCATTCCCAGGCCAGAGCTATTCAGAGCGTGGGCCCATCCATGACACCTGATCGGTGCGTGTGACACAACACAAATCTTCACAAAGTGTTTCAAGACAGCTCTGGATGCTGTAGGGTCGCGTTGAAGGGTCACATTACCACATGTGGCACGATTTTTGTCTATCGTTTCGCCTTGGAAGGAAAACGAGTGTCAAACCAACAGGCGAAGTGAACCAGGTAGGCCTGGGACGCTTTAGCCTTGCTACTGGATGGATTGATGGGTGAATGGAGAGCACTGCAAACCCCTAGTCGAGCACAAACACAACAACGAGGAAGGAGGAAAGAAACTTGCAACTGGGTGTGTAAAATTAAAGGCGAAGGTCGCTGTAATAGCTCATTAGATAGACAGCAGCTTGACTCTTGCATTTACCCACGATCAAATTCACGACAGCCGTCAACTTGACAAGGCGTGTGCGTGTGTGTGGATGCATGTAGTAGATGGGAGCCAAGGCAAATCACGACAGGTAGGAAATCAAGCATGTGCCTATATCCGTCTTTTCTCCACACGATCCACCCTCCAGTTTTTGATAGGCTGACAACTGTCAAACACTCCACGATTAATGGCTACTCATTTATCCCTATCACTCGATCCAACAATCCCCTTTCAAGTGGCTAATGTCACATTGATCTTGAAAGCAACCTCCTGTCAAGGAGCAGATCCAACGCTCGCATCTAGATGCCAACTTCACTTCTTTTGCTTTCGGTGGCGCTAACCGGGATTTTGCTAGACGGGTGACTCGATGTCCTATGCCGAAGGAGGTGAGTTGGCGCGCCCAGGCACGCACTCACGTACCTTGTGCCCGTGACATCTTCACCTCAGAATGACAACCTTAGGGCTGCATTGTATGGGCGGTCAAGTCACCATGTGACTGTCGTTTGACACGTTCAGACAGGTCAACGTTGTTAATGTGTGAGAACTTGTTTAGCTCATCTACTATCTGGGTCGCTTGTAAGGTGGCGCCTCCGTTCTTCGGCCGATCCGAAATTTATCGATTTTTCATCTCGTCACCTTGAAACGCATTATTTTTTGCGCCATTTCTCCCCCTATCCCCCTCCAAAAAAGACTGGCACCAGTGATGAAAAATAAAATCAAATGCATCTGTCATAGAGGCATTTTCTCCTTCGCATGAATTCTTTGAATAACTCCAACTTCGACTGTCACAGGACAGCATTTGCGCAAATTTAGGGGCGTAATTCTCTTTCACGATCTGCGCAACGCCTCTGCGACACGCTGTTGACCTTACGCAGCAGTAGTGACAAACTTAAGGATTGGAGGTCTTGTGAAGATTTGCGTGAGGTCATCGGAGTGAGGTTCACTGGCCATGGCTAATTACGCAATACTTCAATGAAGAGCGGGTTCATCTTCCCGCCAATAAGGCACCGAGGTTTATTAAATTATGACCTTATCAAAGAAAAACTATGAATGAATCAAAGACGAGGCTTTTTGCCTCCATTGACATTCCAACAGATGTTGACAGACAGGATGTGTCGGAACCGCGGTTGTCTTCTTGACACGGTCAAATGTACATCATAGCGATGGCAGCAATAATTATGTTTGCGATTTTAGAGTCAAGGAAGCATAACATTCTCTTCAGCAGGACGCTGTAGGTATTTGAGGAGTGGAGAAGTGCGAGAGGCGACTATCGACAAATCTCACGTAGTCTCCTCTCCCTCCTGAGTCCCCTGAATCTCCTCTCCTCCCTTCAAGTGGCACTCACATCTGTTACTGATTGTTGAGGAATTTTGACACCAGCGAAACAGGCGCACACTTTTCCAACGGTTGGCTATTTGTCGCCACTGCCAGATTGATTTGCTACTCTGTTGAAGCAAATGTATTGATAGATGGCCGGATGAATTCGAGTTGGATGGATGAATGGATAAAGGGCGTTGATGTACTAAAGCGTAGGGTAAGACTCACCGACCAGGCAGTCCTATAAAGGAACATCCGAAATGAGCCAATCCCCTCTATTTTCTGACAGACGCATTTCCGAAAACACCCTCCAGCCGATTTGACCTAGCATATGACACAATTTGTGGCATAGACAACATCGATCAAGGGCACCTCCCTGTTGACGTCAGCGGGTCATGTTTGTGACGTCGCTAACTTCTGCCCATATCAACTTTATTGCCCAGGAGTTCCGCCTCTTTAGTGGTTCTTCTACAGGCGCATCATTATCTTGGGGGCCATTCTTGCCCCGACCATTCCCCTTTTTAGTGGTATTTGATCACCACCGTGAAATTAATGCCCGAGGCGCAACCTGAAAAGCTTTCATCTAGTGAACGAGTACACAAGATTCCATTTGAAATTTTAGGAGTGAGTGAGCGATTGCCTTCTAACTTGACTAGCTGCTTGAACAGTCCTGGAAGTGAGGACGTGGTGATAAGTGGCAGATTGTCTGCATCCGTGTTTTCATAGATGGTAGCAAATACATCCATCCATCCGTCAATTCGTCGCAAAATATCCATCCATATTCATGAAATCAGTTTCGTTAAGTCTATACAAGTTTCCACTTTCGAGGAATTGAAGGTGTGGATAGCCGTTGAGCCTCCAGCACTTCTAATGTTCTGACAGTGAGTGGTTCCTCCTTTAGGAGATGATTTTAACCCCATCTTCACCTTAAATGCCACTTGAGATAAAGCTAAGGTGTTGGATGATGAGCACCTTCTGTGGAGCCGATGACGTCTCTTCCAACATCTCAATTAGCATAATCACCGCCTCAGTGACTAATCTGGGTCACCTCCTCGTAATAAACATCCCGCCGTTATTCATGGAAATGCTTTTTCCAGTCAATAAGTAATTGCGAAATTCTTCAAAACCTAATGGAAAGGTTTATAAATCAGTGAATCTTATTCTACTCTTCACCTCCCAGCCAATAGGAATCAAGGAAATAAGCAAAAAAAATCTATCAAACCACAATCGACCAATCACCTTTTTGTTCCTCCTCAAGGTCATCGACACGGAGAAATCCGAAGGCTACGACACCCGTGCCGATGTCTGGTCATTGGGCGTGACCGGATTGGAGTTGTGGGAGGCAGAACCCCCCTTGGCTGGCGTTCCACCAATGAAGGCCTTCTCCCTCATCACTCACGGTCCCCATCCCCTTTCCCTCTATCCGTCAAGACTACCACCTGAAAGTGAGGAGGCGAAGGATGACCTACTTCAACCCTGCAGTGATTTGATGCCACCAGAGATGTTCGATTTATTGTCAAAGTGAGTGACTGACTTTGCAGCTAGTAGAATGTCACATTATTGATCGCCATGTTGACACCAAAGCGGTCTTAAAAAGCCTTCAACGAGAAATTGTTTTGCCATTATTTGAGCAGACAGTTGGAGACACGTGTACGCTCTAATGTGCTGCAGTCGCCACTGTGGCAATGAGTCACCCCTGCCCCCGAAAATCGAACGCACATTGATCGATGCAAGATCGATAGCTTGCTCTGATTGGCTGTCCCGAATGGCAGCTGCAAAGGTTTCTTAAATCGGGCAACAACTTATTCCGCTTCGGTTTATCTTTACTGGAGTTTGTTAGTTCTGGTTAAAATAAACAACTTTATTTTTAAATATTTGTCACTCTGATTTGTGAGAAAAAAGGCTTGATGAATTTTTTACCTTTACACCGTTTTTTTAATCTCTATTTATTTGGAGGTTTTAAGTTAAATAGGTCACATGAAATAATAAAACGAGAAATTGTGATTTGCAGGCTGTAATTAAGGAATTGAAGTGCATTTTACTCCAAAAGTAAATTATGAGAGCGAAAACAATGCAAACCCATGGAATTTTTCTCCAGTAAGGTAAATTTTTACTCCTGCATGCGTCTATTCGATCATTCTTTTATCTATCTATTCCTTCCTCTGTCTCTAGGTTCACTTATTCATTCATCTATCCATGATTTAGATGCACGAATCTTTCACATGTCTTTAGGGCTTTTAAGGCTAAAATTCCTCCAGAATATGGGATTATCTACTGCAAAAACGTAGCTAAATTTAACAATCATTGATAGACTTTGCTATAATGCATTTTTTCTCACCATATCTGGGCTAAATCTCTTCGGTGTAGTTTCAATTTTCTCATAGAAGAGCAGCAAAATGGCCTGCTACTACGTTGTTAATATAAAATCACCACCTGGATTTGTTTGAGGGATTTTTACAGGACGTTCTAAGTTGCTTTAACTATTCTACTATCACAAATTTATGACAAATCCAAAATTGGGGGTAAAATAGGGGATCCATCTTTTCATTATGATCTCTGATCCAACTTTCTATACTTCCCTGTTCATTCACTTCGGTTTCACTTTGTCCTCCTTTTTAATCCCCAACACCTTGTCTACCAGGTTCTTGGTATTCCTTATAGTTTCTGATGCCTGTGTTTACACCTAATTGTGTTGTTTAAAAAGTGAGGGCCTCTTTTTCTAGTTTTGGTTCTGACTGACTTTAAATAGACCACATCTTTGGCGACCTCTGGCGACTGAACTAGACACCAACCCCATTTTACTTCCATACTTACGAATTTAAAACTTCAGAAATGAAAATCTCCTACTGCATTGTCATCAGATTTTACAATGATATGCTACTTTTTTATTGCCATTTTAAAATGAAGATTTGAAGATGTACTATTCTATCAGGCTTAAATGGCATGCATTTTTCAATTCTATCATTTTTCAATTCTATCTGCATCAGATGATGGGAGGATGAGGTCGGCACATCCATTTTGTCACTTTGGTTGACAAATAGGGGCTTTTTTTCGTAGTGCAAATGCACCAACGCAGTCGTTTGACTTTATAAAAGTCCTCATCTTTGATTCCGGCCAGTAACGAAAGTCTACCACGTTGGGCGATAAAGAGGTTTTTGTGTCCCAAGGCTAGAAAGCCAATGATTTGATCTGTGTAGGTTGATGAATTACAATCGCTCTCTTCCATACCTCCTCCTCCCCCTTCTTTTGCGCCTAATCTTTGACACATCTTTTTGATCTCTTCAGCGGGGTCGGAACTTAAAAATGAAGGTCATATGTTACACCTAGAGCTTTCGATAGATCTCTGCTTATAGTTGCCTTCGTCTCCGAGCTCCAGACCAAACGCTGGTTGCTATCCGTAGAAATCCTTTTGTAGAAGCAGGACTATCTGTGGCAATTCCTTCTTGTCATCCTCATACGGCCTAGCTGTCTATTAGGCTTTCAATCGGCTCAACTACTAAAATAACGTTATGTAAATATGGCAATCTTCTTTCGGGATATTTTAACGCCGCTTTCGTATAATCTCGCTTCAGTCTCTAAGTGCCTTACCGCAGAGTACCAGATTGACGTGGCTGTCAAAGGTTCACGTGGCTTTCACGGATCGTTTTTTTGGGTCAGGCACGACAAGCACCCTCTTCCATAATGTTTTGTCTTGCTATCTAGGCAAAAGTTTCCCCACTTTTGTTCTTTTATAGTGATTATCCGAATCAATGCTGCTCCTAGAGGCAGCACTGCGGCTTGTCATCGAGGTTCAGAAGAAGTCGGCGAGGCCAAAGCGTATGAGCAATTGCGCTGACAAATTACTTCACTCGTGACCATAAAGCCGCTTAAAGTTGTCATTCACTGCCAAAAGATCAGCTGATGACTTATTTGGTCGTTATTCAAAGCAGCACTACCTGTTGTGCTCTTTTTTGTCTCTCTACTCTAAATATCAAAAGACAAGTCTCATTCATATCCTAGTGGCCTTTTTATTGTCATTATCAGGCTTTCTTTTTTCCTTCTACTCGTTTACTTTTTGAGGTATGGGTAACTGGAAAGGCGCATTAATGTACCCCCCATGTAATAGCCAATCCGAGGTAGTTTCAAATTGGTACTAGAAGTTTGTTTTTTTCTTGGTCTTTTTTAACGATGACTTGTGAAAATGTCAGAGGCACTTCCTTTCTCTTTTCGTTTCGTTTTTCAATAGGGCGTAGTTCGGTTACCCTATCGTAAGCCAAACCATAACCCGTGTCTAGGGGCCAGGAAAATGATAAAGCTTGATGGTGGTGGTGGAGAGTTCGTGGAATCCTTCGTACCGTGTGGAAATAAATAGCTACTCTATGAAAGTGCATTGGAGAAAAGAGAAAATGAAGACCTCAAGGTCAGGAACAGCTGAAGCCAAATGCCACAACCAATGGCCTCTTAGAACTGGATAACCGATGCTCGAGTGTTGTGTTAATGTCGTGTTTGAATTACCGTTCTGGAAGGAGCTTTTATGTCATTGGTGTGAAGGCCAGTCTTGTGTATGTCCTCCTTGGTGCTTTCTGGAGTCACTCTTCCACCTCCTTGATGAGGCCGAAGGGAAAATCGTGTGAAGATCTCTTCACTACCTCAGGAGGTCTTTTGGATCAAATGTTGTCTTTCGATGGTGTTCCTTGGTGCACTCTTCCTGCGAACAGCGTCTCTGAGATTCATTTGTCACCTATTATTCACTATTCTCTTGCGAGAACTCTAGCTCCTCTTTATTGTCAATTCAGTACTTTTCCATCTTCTTCCAATTCTCCGGTGGTCACGAAGACTTTACAGCAGATATCCGCCTTCCACAGTGAGTGGATGTTTTATCTACAACATTGGCTTATTCAAAGCATCAAGAAAAGCCATCACACACTTCGCAGCTTCTGGATGACCGCTAAACAGGCAACAAATTACACCCTTCTTGAAGTAGGGCTGAAAGCCCAATGGCAGGTCCTCATGCCAGTGCAAATGCGGTGTAGGAATTGCCGAATTTCTTTCGGCCCCGTCAAAGTCTGTGATGCCTCATTAACATCAGAGGCGCGAGTACTTAGTACCACGGTGGAAATCACTACCTTGTTACTTCACCTTTGCCGCAGCAACAACAACAACAACTGACGCCAGAGGCCAATAAAAATGCGGCATTTGTTGTTTCTGTGGCGGTGCCATGAGAATTCGTTGCCATCAAAGACACCCAAGTGATTATGCTACTTACGCAGTCGGTGAGTCATGCCTTGTGGAGGCCGTCTTTGTGTGGAAATTTATACGCTCGAATCCCTCGAGGTGGCCTCCAATAGCGCCCAGTGGGAAGGGAATCGGTGGCACCCACGGGGGGGGGGAGAAGGGGAGGGATGGGGAATTCATACCGCTTACTGGGGCACTTTGCCCCACGGTCTAAAGTTGCCTGCGATGCATGAAAGTGGAATTATTTGTGAGACAAACGCTTTTTGTAGAAAAGGACTTTAAAATAAAATAATGAATCCTTACTGTGGCTGATTTTGCGTTCTGAAACCACGTCGCGGCCCAAGTCAGTTGAAGGCTATTTTGAGAAGGAATAGGGATATTTTCTGTTCGGTTGAAACCGAGAGCAGAGACTACAGAATAAAGATTTGAAACTTCCTGTATATTTTATTTCTTTTAATTTCTAGGTGCCTGGATAAGGATAAGACTCGACGGCCTTCATCAGCCGAACTGCTCAAACATCGGTTTTTATCTGGAGTCCCGCTATCTCTTTCAAAGGTATGTCAACGTGGATGCAAAATAATGTGTTAATTATAAATTCATTCAAGTTTTCAAAGAGCGGAGAAGCTTGACTTTCATTGGTTGCTAGTTAACGGGCGCTTTTAATTGGCTGATTTATGCAGTCGAATATTTGAAAATGAACATAATCAAATAATAAAAAATATTTCTAGGTACTTATATTGCTTTTGTGTTCCTTCTTAAAAACTGACGCTAGTAATGAATTTTAATCCCACGATTTAACGAAAGCAGCAAAAAATAAGTCAAAATAAGTGGACGTTTTTGTCACTTACCTCTTTTCCTACCGCACAAAAAATATGTAAACTTTGAAATCAGTCAATGAATTTTTCGGATTGAAAAATGAAACCTCTCTGGTGCTTACAGAAACCTAGAGTGAGCATTTGAGTTTACTTCAACTGTCTTCACTTCAGTGATCAGGTTTTGCTTCCATGATTCCTGAGTGGAATGGACCACCAGAGTTTAGATGTGGTCAAATAAAATGTAGTCATGCCTAAGTCGAACTTCAACCTCTTCGTCTATGACACGGTTTGAAGTAACAAGTTGTCCGTGTCACATATTTGTGACACTGGAATTTATGAAGAAAATTGGTGCGTCAGAAGGGGACTTCTTCATAAACTGAAGTTCTATCCATCAGTTCATTGGTTACACTAAATTATCTTTTGTGCTGAAAAAATCAAGTTGCTCTCTTAAAAACGCTTTTAAAACATATCTTAATTCATGTAAACACTGGACACGATCACGATAACCAAAACAACTACGGTGACTCGGTGTCGTACACACGTCAGTCCAGCAGACATCGGTGATGAATTAGACAGAGGTCGTCTGTCGATCTGTTCTGACCCAATAGCCGCCTTTCAAATTTGGTCAATCTAGGGCCGTGTTTTGGTCGAAAGCTAGTTAAAAAACTTTCGCTCTGTTTGTTTCACCTACACTTAGAATAGTCCCCTATTTAAATTTTTTTTCTTCGTTTCTCCTGTTTTTCAATCAGATTTAATTGTTTTCACATAGTTAATGAAATTTTAGCGGTCATTAATAGAAATCCGAAAGTTTTTGTTACGTTTTAGCTGTAAAATAAGCGTTTTTTGCGTGGAGTATTTGAAAAAAAAGTGGAAAAAGAAATTATAATTTATGATAATAAGACGGAAAAGAAGAGTCAATTTTTATGCAGGCTTTTCGTTTATTCGCCCCTCCAGTCCTTCAGATTTTGTTTGCCCATTCCTCGGCGGCACAACTATGCCAGTTACTCACCAGTGTACCATCCATCCATCCATCCATCCATCCATCCATCCATCCATCCATCCATCCATCCATCCATGTCCTCACTTCTGTGACTATTCAAACTGCTAATCAAGTTGGAAGGCGATCACTTACTCACCCCCAAACCTCTTTACCTAAGTCCTGTGTATTCGTTTGCCAGATGGAGACGTTTGAATTTGCGTCTCGGGCATTAATTTCACGGTGGTGATCGAATGCCACGAAAGAGGGGAAGAGGAGGGTGGGGGGAATTAATGGCTTACAAAATAATCATAGATTACATTGTAATTCTTGCAGGAGATAATGATGCGTCTGTAGGAGAACCAATAAAGGAGGTGGAATTCCTGGGCAATAAAGCTAGTCTGGGCGGGAGGTGGCTCCGTTGCAGACATGAACTGCTGACGTCAACAGGGCGGTGGCCCTGACCGATGTTATCTACAGCACAAATCTTGTCTTATGTTAGGTCAGGTCGTTCGGTTGGAAAGTTGTTTTTTGGAAACGCGTCGGTCAGGTAAGAGAAGCAATCGTCTAGTTCTCCAGTTTGGCCTTTTTGGAGAGCTGTCTTTTTAGAACGCCCTCCACATCATCATTTCCGAGGCATTCGCTGGTCCTTACTTCCACTCCCTAGATATTACTCACACTTTTCACTTTTGTGTACTTGTTTTGTCCAAAGCAGATGATCCATCCAGATGAGCAATTCCTTAGTAAGGTGGTGTAAAATAGGTGGAAGCATTGTCATAGACGAAATGATCGACTGGATGATCTATAAAAGTCAGTTGGATCAGCAGCAAATGTGATCTACTGACTCACCCATCCACCTGTCAGTCTGAATTCATCCAATCACACGTCGAGGTGACACTTCCACAGCTAGCCAACAGTTGGAAACATACGTATTTGCTTTGCTGGTGTCAAAGTTGCCCGACAAGCAGTGGCAGAGGTGGAAACCTCATGAAGGAAGGGGAGGCGATTTTTGAGATTTAGGGGAGAAAAGATCACGTAAGATTTAGCCACCCATCGTTGTTACGTCGTGGGAAGTTCATCGCACTTTCTCGCTCCTCAAATGCCCTACGACGTCCTGTTAAAGGTGCTGTTTTGTTTCCTCGACTGTGAACACTCAAGCATCACCAAGACGGGCAGTTGATCGTGTCAAGAGGTGATGACCTAACCGCCAGGTCTACCATGGTTCCGACAGATCCTGTCCATCCATAGGATTTGTAAGCATGCCAATTCTTACAATTTTGCCATCTCGTTCAATACAATTTTCATCTTTCCACAAAAGGACGATCATTTGAGCGAAAAGGAATCCTAAAATTGGCTTCCCATTATCCACGACCCTTTGAACCTGCAAGAAAGTGTTCACCCGCTTTTAATCATCTTCCTTTGCACGAATGTCAAGGGGAAATACTCGCTGCCAACCCAAGCGAATATACTACTTATTCGACATGAGTACTTTCGTTGATGTCACCTAACTCACTGCTGTGGCGTCTCA